TATATATATGTATATATAAATATCTTCTCTCTGTAAGAGCTGATGACTGTTCTCAAACCTTGAAATTAGTGACCTGTTTGACTGTGAAGCATAACTTCCTGCTCCTAAAGGTCACTGGCTCAGCCCAACATACTGAAGACACCAGTTTGATCAACAGTAGCTCCCAACACAGAGTGTCACAGCCAGGACTCCCCTCTCCTTTGATCAGCACATCAAAGCTTATCACCTCTGTTCATCCACGTAACAAAGTTCAGTCTTTTCTCTTTCATGGCAGATGAGACCCTAACTCAGACCTCTGTATCATCCAGACTGTTTTGTTTTCAGGCCATGAGCTGATACTTGAAGACTTCAAATGGTTCAGATGCTGCAGCTAGAATCTGAACTAAATCCAGGAAATCTGACATTACACCAGTTTTATCTTCCAGTCATAGGCTTCCTGTCAATGTCAGACTGTAAGGAACTCCTAATGAAATAGAAAAGTCCCCTCCCTCTGGACCAACCTCCCTGTTGACATCAGACTGTCTGATTGGTCCTACTGATGAGATCACTGTGAACTAAAAGCCACTGCATGTCTCTAACCCTCTGTTTGTTTATTCCCTCCAGCACATGAGGGTCCAGGCTGTGAGCTCTTTCCTCCCCCTCTCCTCTCTCTCTCTCTTTCCTCCCCCTCTCCTCTCTTCTCCTTCCCTCTCTCTTTCCTCCCCCGGTCCTCTCTTTCCACTCAGGCTCTCTGGACCATCAGCCATTTGGGGACCTCTCTCCCTCCCCTGGCTGTCGGTGCCTCATTCCAGATGTTTGGGATCTGGGCCTTTGTCCTCCAGGAGTCCGAGCCTGCTCCTGGTCTTTGGGTTAGTGATATGAGTCTATATAAATAAAATCTGACCCACACACACCGTCCTGCTGCCACAAACACTCACTACAGCAACAGATGTGGATTGATCCACTGCTGAAAAAGGTCCTCTACAAAGACACTGGCTTTTCTGGCTTAGTGACATTTGTTGAAAAATAACAGTTAACAGCAGTTTTAGAAAATGAAACTGTATATTTGAGGTGTTTTTAAAGATGTATATCTTCAGGAAGAACTGTTGGACCGTTGGAGAGGACAGAGACGAACACACTGCTCATTAAATTTGTTAGACTGACGTCTTTAAGTGAAGCTCTCTAACTTCTGCTGAACTGCTCCTGTGGTTTTTAACTGTGTGAACTTTTTACATTTCACACAGTCTATATTTTTTTTAAATTTAGTAGAGCTTTGAAGGCTGTGGTAAGATGTCTACCTGTCCAGCATGTACCTTACCATTCTCTCAATGCATTCTTTGATAGTCTCCAGTCCCACCCACATCACTGTATAGGGATGAGTGGAGATAGAAGATGAATGGATGGATGGAGAATCTTCTGATCTTGACTTGTCAATGTAAAACCTCTTCAAATACAAAAAGCATGGAGGGTGAGTGTAAGTGAACAAGCTTAATGAGCCTTAATGAGGATAATCACTTAAACCTAAACTACACTGTGCAGATCACTGTTAAGCTGTTTTCAAACTGGGAGTTTGAAGTTGAAGGGTGTTGTCATAATTCAGTTTTTAGAATTGAATACATTGTGATGGAAACCTCGCTGTAGATATGCACCAACACACACCCCCTCCTAACCCAGCACCCCACCCCTGACTGACCTGGGAGCAGGCGGACCCTCCAGTAAATGCGCAGGCACTGCTCCTCCTTGCGAAAGCCACGCTGACACTTGCAGGCCAGCAGAGCCGGGTGTTTGGCCAGCAGAGCATCCTGTCTCTCCAGGCACTCAGATGCTGCCTGTTCCCCCAGCGGGGACACTGCTGCGTCAGCCGCGCACAGCTCCAAGCCCCGGTACAGCGCCTCGCACCGGGGGTCAGCGGAGCAACCCCGATGAGCTTCAACACAGTCAGTGGGGGAGGGAGGGAAGGGGAAGATGGGTGCTGAGGATGGCAACACATCTAGGAGACAAAGAGAAGGAGAGAGACACATTAGAGGAGTCAGAGGTCAGATCAAAGTCCTAAGAGGACTTAATGAAATGTAAACAGTAGAGTTATATAAACAGAGGAAATTAGCTCTAGAGACCAACATTTTTTGTACCAGGCTGTAAACATGTTTATTTCTGCTGTAAAGTTGGACATTTTAACATTGGAGTCTATGGGGACTGACTCACTGTTGGAGCCACACTCTAGTGTTCATTAGAGGAATTGCAGTTTTGAACACTTCAGTGTTGATGCTTCATGTTTCAGCCTCAGGGGTCATGATTGGTGGTGAGAGAGGCCACCTGCAGCCACGCCTCCAACCACAGCATCTTGTTACAGGTGGTAAATTCTGACTGACTACAAAAAAAACCTCTAATTGAATGATCAGACTCAGTCTTGCTCCTTTTAGAGGCTGTGTCATGGTTGCCATGATGGACGATTTCTGTTTGAGTTTTGTTTTATGTTTGCACTTTGAGTTTGTTCATTTCCTGTTTTATTTTGTTGCTACTTTCCTTGTGTCTCTTGATGTTTTTACTTCCTGTCTTTGTCCTGTTTCCCTCCTTGTTGATTGTCTGTCCTGCCCTAATGTGTTTCACCTGTGTTCAATCACCCTTGCCTCCTTGTGTCTATTTAGTCTCTGTGCTCCTCTTTGTCTGAGTCAGTTCATCTGTTTGAGTCCCTGTGCTTCTGTTTCTGTTCAAGTTCCCTGTGTTTCCTCGTGTTTCTGCTTCTGTTCAAGTTCCCCTGAGTTACTTCGTGCTTCAGCTTCCTGTTTGCCTATATTTTGGATTTTTGAGTTTCACTGGTTTTTCCCTTGTTTCATCTGCATTTGGGTCCAATCTTACCTTAAAACATGACAGGCTGTTTGAAACCAAAGATAACCACGTACAGTTTTACAGCACGAGTCTGTCATGGAGAACTGTGCTGAGTTAAGTGGCAGTATTCATCGTGGAGACACATTGCACTTTCAAGCTATTATAGGAGCTATTTGTTAGTATTGCTACTTTTTATAAAGGTGTACTCAGACAGATTTTGAAGCACTGAGGTGAAGATGTACCTGTGCACATTAAAACACTGTGACACCTGAGCAGAACCTTATCCTGAGGTTTTTTATGAATCTACTTGATAAACACAAAGAGATGAGATGAAACAGGAAAGAGACTGGAGGGAAATAAGAGTCAGTTCACATCTGTACAGTCTGGCATCAGAGTGAACAAACATGTTCATGCAAATAACACAAGACAACATACACCTGCTCTGCTCTGTCTGAACTCACCTTCACAAGAGTAACAACAGAGAGGACCCACAGTATTCAGGTGGAAAAATCTACAGTGTCTAAATAATAATTAAAGCAAACCAGTTAAAGCTGTAGCTCTAAACCCTCAGTGTCCTGACCTGAGCACGTGTCTGATATGTTAACTGTTTCAACAGCTCACTTCCTCTGAGTTTTGAAAGTGTTTCAGGTTGTTTGGGATCAGATGAGAGAACAGCAGGAAGCAGCTCCAGAGTCTACTGATCACATTAAACTGAAGTTTAGCAGGATGATGATGATATTGATGATGATGATGATGATGATGATGATGATGATGATGATGATGATGATGATGATGACGATGACGAGCAGGAAGTGACTGGATGTAAATCCACATGATGATTTCAGGAGAACATCCAACTCACACAAAGACGCTCTGACACAGAGACCAGGTCTCTTCAAGTCCTCCAACACTCGTGGAGCAGGTTTTGTTTCACTTCAGTTAGAGCGTGACGTTCTGATGACCTGGACTGTGTTGTGATGTATGATCTTAGAGCCTTGCATGATTGTGTTTGGGTTGAGACATTGTTTACGTCACTGAGCACAGTAACAGGACCTGTGAACGAGCTGCTCATGTTGTCAGATTAGGAACCAGTGTCTTGATATGTGGTGGTGAAGCACGTAAACTGTGTTGATTGTTTTTATAAATATTCTTCTCAGTTAGAATCAGCTGGTGTAACACAGGGCAAACCCTCAGGAACAACAACTGTGGTCATCTGGTCCAGATCAGGTCAGTGTGAAACTTTCCACCAAACTAACCACCTAAACCGAACCAGGCCAGAGTCCAGTCTGAACCAGTCAAAGGTGTGAAACAGCTCAGACAACACTGTGGAGCAGACTTCCTCACTGTGGTCATCAAACACACAGACATGACACAGACATGACACAGACACTCCATTTCATCTCTCAGTCCACCTGTCTGCACCTGTCTCTGTCTCCTGTCTCTAGGGATGGGATCGTTATCGATTCTGCTTATCGATCCGATTCTTTTTCGATTCCCTTATCGATTCCTGTGGATTTTCTGTGTGGAAAAAAGTAGGCCCATACAGGTTTTCAGCGTCAACAACGCAAACTTTATGATGAGTCTCTGAACACTGAACAAGATAAATAACCTCTGTGCAGTTGTTCAATCCCTCGAGGAGGGGGTGCTGTCTGCCTCTTGAGGTCTGCCTTGTATTCATTTACAAAAAGAAGTCGGCTCGTTCGCGACCGACACATCACTAATACGTCCCTTCACTGCTCTGCTGAGACTGGGAAGCACTCGTTGACCGGCGGCGTAGAGCGTCAAACCCATGGCACTCCTGATATTTAATGCCGTGCTGCGTCGACAAATGTTTCTGCATGTTGCTGGTGTTTCCACCCGTGCTTGAAATCTTAGTGCCACAGACGCTGCACGTTGCGCTGTTAGCATCATTTTGTGTGAAATTAAGCCACACTTCGTCGACGACTTCGTTGTCATTTGCGTTGACTGCCTCTCACGAAAGTGTGACATCATTGCTTTGCAAGGCACACGGAACTAAGTGGAAGGAATCGATAAGGGAATCGTTAAGCATAAAGGCAAATGATGTCAATGGATCGAACTGGTTCCAACTGGTTCTCGATACCCATCCCTATCTGTCTCCACCTATCTACTGTCTACTGTCTCCTGTCTTTGTTTAGTCTACTGTCTCCACCTATCTCCTGTCTGTCCACTGTCTCCACCTGTCGCCTGTCTCACAGCAGACCACACTCTGTCTTTATGACAGTGTGTGGACAGGTGGACGTCCCTCCATAGGACCCGCTTGCATGTGCAGCAGCAGACAGGAGGAGAGGCTCCCTGGTAAAATCCAATCGCTGATGTGCACAGAGGAAGAACAGAGGAGTTGAGTGAGGACAGCAGAAATGTCACACAGGGAGGAGAAATAAGGGAATGGAAAGATAGATGGAAAAAGGGCGAGGTGGGAGAGAGCGAGCGAGCGAGAGAGATAGAGGCAGAGACAGAGAGCGAGCGCTCCAATGTGAACCTTGATGGGTTGGACACGCGCACAGTATGAGGCACAATCAGAATGCAGCACCGAAAATGATGTTCTTAGAACCACACAAAGGGGAGTGCACACACACACACACACACACACACACATACACGGCTGCCCTGAGAAGGACCCTTTTATGTGTGTGTCCTGCTGGGAGAGAGACTGGGAGGCACAGAACCCATCATTATTACCAGAACACAATACTGCACAACCAGGAGGGAGGGGGTGAGGGGGCAAAGCAATCTGTCTGACACACACACATACACACACACACACCTCCACATACACATACACTCAGAGTCAGAATAAAGTGGCTGAGATAGCATAAACAGCTTAACATTCAGCAGCGGATCAGTAGACAGTATGTAAATTGAATACTGAGTGTGCTGATGAAAGACTAAGCACATACATAAAACATTGTTGGTTGAACAAACAGCCTTTGTGGAGCAGCACAGCCCAGGACATGAGAGCAGCGATCAGCCAATCACCTCTCTGACCAGAAGCTGCAGCCTCACACACACACACACACACACACATACTCACCACACACACGCTCACCTCCATCTCTGCTGCTCCGGAGACATTTCCACTTTAAACTAGTGTTCACAGTTTCAGACAAACGGCAGAGGTGTTTGATTTCACAATAAAAGTCCAATGAATTCACTCAGTTACAAAAACCTCAGTGAGCAGTGTGAATGAGAAAACTCCACTGGTGTCACATGACAGCACAGTTCAGGATAACTACTGTCCTCAAAGTAAATAAACTAGAAGTACAGACTGATAACTGATGACTGTCATATCCCACATGCTGATTTAACTAAGCAGAACCATGGTGGATGTTTTATTTAAAAAAAAACACTAACAACTTGTAATATCACACATGCCTCTTCATGTCTAAACCTGTGGCCTACATTACCCACAATGCAACATGATTGCCAACGGTTCACTTGGAGATTTGCTAGTAGGCGCTAACGTATCCTGTATCCTGCAGCAGAGACGAGGAGCAGCAACAGAGGTCTGCTAAACTAATGTCTTCCTGATTCCACCTACAGGCTGACGATGTTCAGGATTCCTGTGACGAGACTCAGTTTCACTGGTCATCATGTGACTGGGACGGGACAGGAAACATAATAACAACAGGTAAGTCTTTATATACAGATGTGGAGCTCTAATATGAATAATCACCATTTTTTATTTTGAACATAATGCTGGTTGTTATTCTTTTTTATTCTCTCCTGTCTGCTCTGGTGACCACCTGATCGATGACGTCTGTGGATGGAGGACGTTTGGTTCAGCCACTAAACGTCAGACAGTCTGCTCCCTGCAGAGACAGTAAATCTGACATTAGAACCTTGTTTCACTCTTTTCAAACTTAATAGGTTTTGACCTCAGACCTGTCTGAAGTGATGGAGTGGAGACCAGCGGCTTCTCTGAGTGCTGCCTTCACCTAGTGTCTACTGTCTGCATGTGAGGCGTTTAGGGAACATCGGTAATGGGATTACAGTCTCCCCCCTCTAAACTTCATGGGTCTCTGGATGCACATGGGTCACACCACCTAACACCACAAGTAAATTCTCCACCTGTGGTAAGCACTGTAAAAAAGAATGCCATTGTCAACAATGGAGTCAGAGTTCCCTGAAAGAACAAAACACTGGATGGGATCGGACAGGAAGGAAAATCCACTCCCGTGTCACCCTGTACTCCACACCCCCAGATTTTTTCATTTTCAAAAATTACATTTATCATACTTCACACAACTTCCTCTGGATACACCAAAGGCTTTATAGCAGTTTTCGTACATTTAGTAGTTTTCATCAGAAGTTTTAATTTTGTCTATTATTTTTAGCCTCAGTCTTAGTCCTGGATCAGAAATCCATGTTAGGGTTAGTCAAGTTAAGTCAACCTGATCCATTTTATTTGTACTCAGTTTTCAGTTGAATAAAACTCTTTGTCTTTTTTTAGTCATTGCTAGAATAGTTGAAATATACTGTAGTTTTAGTCAAGACCAAGAATAAGTCCTTCAGTCACACCTCAACAAATAAGATTCAAATAAGATTATGTCCAACTGGTTTTAGGCTAAATGGAAATGAAAATAAACAACAGAATGACAGGTTGTCTTAAGCAACATTAGCAATCTAATGTGATCTAACTCTTACAGTATGAATATGTAATTGTTATAATGTAAATGTTGTTTTTGAATATCCAGAAAAAAAATAAAACAATAGCCCTGCAGTAAATTCTGCTCCTTATAATGTCCAGATCTGTGTTGACCATGTTCATGATGTTATTCTTTAATTTTGTAGGCTATACTATAGTAGCAGACTGTAGTAGACTGTAGTGGACTGTAGTAAACTGTAGTAGACTGTAGTAGGCTGTAGTAGGCTGTAGTGGACTGTAGTAGACTGTAGTAGACTGTAGTAGGCTGTAGTGGACTGTAGTAGACTGTAGTGGACTGTAGTAGACTGTAGTAGACTGTAGTACGCTGTAGTGGACTGTAGTAGGCTATAGTGGACTGTAGTAGGCTGTAGTGGACTGTAAAAGGCTGTAGTGGACTGTAGTAGACTGTAGTAGACTGTAGTGGACTGTAGGAGACTGTATTAGGCTGAAGTAGACTGTAGTATACTGTGGTAGACTTTAGTAGATTGTACTGGATTATAGTAGTAGACTGTGGTAGGCAGTAGTAGGCTGTAGTAGGCTGTAGTGGACTGTAGTTGACTGTAGTAGGCTGTAGTAGACTGTAGTGGACTGTAGTAGACTGTAGTAGACTGTAGTGGACTGCAGTAGTAGACTGTAGTAGACTACTGGACTGCAGTAGTAGACTGTAGTAGACTGTGGTAGACTGTAGTAGACTGTAGTGGACTAGGAGAATATAGTACACTATAGTACTAGACTGTAGTAGGCTGTAGTAGACTATAGTGGACTGTCGTAGGCTGTAGTAGACTGTAGTAGACTGTAGTGGACTGTAGTGGACTGTAGTAGGCTGTAGTAGACTGTAGTGGACTGTAGTAGACTGTAGTAGACTGTAGTGGACTGTAGGAGAATATAGTAGACTGTAGTAGACTGTAGTAGACTGTAGTGGACTGTCGTAGGCTGTAGTAGACTGTAGTAGACTGCAGTGGACTGTAGTGGACTGTAGTAGGCTGTAGTAGACTGTAGTGGACTGTAGTGGACTGTAGTAGGCTGTAGTAGACTGTAGTAGACTGTAGTGGACTGTAGGAGAATATAGTAGACTGTAGTAGACTGTAGTAGACTGTAGTGGACTGTCGTAGGCTGTAGTAGACTGTAGTAGACTGTAGTGGACTGTCGTAGGCTGTAGTAGACTGTAGTAGATTGTAGTGGACTGTAGTAGGCTGTAGTAGACTGTAGTGGACTGTAGTAGGCTGTAGTAGACTGTAGTTGACTGGTCTGGACCAAGCGCTGGGTGGAGTGCTAAGTCAGGTAAGACCTGATTTTTCTGATGTTGTACAGAGCAAAGAGACACGACCAGGAGACGGACACAACATGGTCAGAGAAGAAGAGCTGGTCATCAAACATGACACCAGGTTTTTCTAGACCCTGAGAGTTCAGTCTTAGAGAGGTGTAGCTGAAGGTGGTGTTCCATCATCCATGTGGATGTGTCAGAGAGACAGGACTAGATCTGCTCAGAGACAGTGGGGTCGTCTGGTGGGAACGACAAGTTTAGTTGGGTGTCATCTGAATAGCAGTGAAGTTTGTTTTGCTTTAGTTTTGAGAAACAGTGTCCACTTCCACGCTGTATAAGACACTGAAGTCCACCAGTGTGTTGTTGCTTTGGCAATGCACATCCACGAATTTCGGGGTGTAGTTTCTGAAGGAGCACTGAAAGAAGGGGTGTATTTGTTTTTGCTGATGAGTTCAAATATCAACAGTCTTTCTTCAAAACTGCTTACTCCACCTTCATTTTTAATGAAATTTGATCAACATTAACAGTGCATGTCAGGACATTTAGCTGCCACAGACACATCAAACGTGTTTAGTTGTGCATGTTTTAGCATAGATAACAGTGAGGCTGAACCCTCATCTTTGTGAGATGCTCACACATAAAGTTATATCACTGCATTTAGTAGTTAATACGGCTTTAAAAGTAACTGTCCAATGTTTTTGTACCAACAGAGCTTCCTGACAAAACTAAACACTTCTCCTCGTTGTAGCTTCTTATTTAAAGCAGGTCCAAAATGTGCTTCAGATAGTTTTGCCAACATGTTGCCTTCATGTTATTTTCCCATCACTGTTTGTTGTCCAGGTCTGGATTGGTCTGGATGAT